AAATGATTTTTGAAAGTCATTTTTACGATTTGGTTGAGCGTGCAAATCTCTGTATTGCTTACGTGAAGGAATATATTTTGAATCAAATAAAATAATCTTTCCATCAGAATTTGTTTCTTTTATTTTAAAAAAGTTTGATTATCTTCGAGACACAGATTGCGCATATGAAAAACATTTCAGAGAAAGAGAGAGAAAGAAAATTAGTACTCTGCTTTCTTTTTAACTGTCGGATATTTTTCATTTTAAAACAATTTCATTATTTTAAAAGATGTATTTCTTTAACAAAAATTTTACTTCCAATTGGAGTCAATTTATCTCTAGAAATAATCTTTGGAAAGTCTGCAACAACTGATAAATTCAATTGAAACTTTTTTTATATTCCTTTAACGGAAGACTTACTTATTTAAATAACAGTAGAAAGGAAACTTCATTCGATCGCCCGATCGCGCGATCATAATCCCTTCTCTTATAACAAGGAAATTTTTACATTTTCCAAAATTCCATAAGATTATCCGCCGTAATCTGAGTATTTCCATCGTTCAGAAAGGAACGTAGTGGTTATTCTGATTTATCCTCGCTGCCATAATCGACTGACAGATATGGCAGGACACGGTATCGTAATCCACTGATTCAGCGCTTCGTCCGGCGCTCTTCTTACCTCCAAGTATTCCAGTTTGGAAAAAAAAAGTGGCGACTATCGTCCAGTCAGTGCCACCAGACGATCTCACGTTTCGCATCTTCACGAAGAAATCGACTTCCTTCCCAAGACTGAGGACAAAAATTCTGACCGCAGCCAGTACTATCGAGAATTCGAGAATTGTACTACAATTGGAAATATCTCTACTTGCAACGACCGTCGGCGATTTTGGAGATGTGATATTGATTCGGATCGTTGTCGAAATTAGTTGCATTCGTACCGGGGCGCGGAAAAGCACACGGGGGTTTCTGAGGCAGAAACGAGAGCATTAGCTCTCAAACATGTCCGCGGTAGATTTCCCCGCGGACACTAATCACGCATTGGCATCCGAGGTACTCGTATTAGCTGCGAGCTCGTGGGACAGGTAGGGCAGGTTCCCGGCTACCGATCAATCGACTGTATGGTGCATTTCATGTCTTCTTTCTTGCTTACAATAAAAAAAAGAGACATCTCTCACTAAAAGTGCTCTCGTACTTTTGGAAACTTTTGTTGAAAATTTCAAAGTTCAAAATTTCAAGAAATTTAATTTGAGTATGCCATTTTAAACTTTCAATGTGCGATTAACGTTATTAAAAAAAATTGATTCTATTTCTTCACGGCCCTCCATGTCTCGTGCAGCTTATCGGCACCGCAATATTCTCTCTCTCCTCTCTCTCTTCGTAGTCTTTCAGAAAATACGTATGGGGCATGCATAATTCGCGTCTCGAACGACTCGAGCATTTCACGCGACGAGTGTCGTGCGAATATAATCCGCAGTCCAATTAGCGATAATTACGGCGTGAATTGGGAATTCCTAATGGTAGAGGTACCCCCGTTAGTTTGTTTGTTCGTTTACGCACACCGTGATTTTTGCAGACGGCATAATTCAAGGCGCAAATTAAATTCGTTTCCCCGTTCATAATTCTGACGATTCGTTTACGTAAACTGAGAAGGAAACTTTAAGTTGCGTTTCTTTTCTCGATGTTGTGATGTCCGCCGTTTCGTGGAGTCTCATTCGGCCGCAATCACGAAAAAACGGTAATTTTATCGTGTATAAAACTCAAGCCAATTTTCCGCTTCGGCATAATTCGGGGCGCCACCATTCCGAGTTATCCTCGCCGTCGACGAGAGGGAACGACGGAGAATTAACGTATAAATTGGTTAATAATTCGGCGCATTGGTTTACAATCTATATCGTGTTGGCATTAGCATTAAACCTGCTAACAATGATCATTTTGTTCAACCCTATGAATAATTCTCTTCGATTCGCGTATACGTGGTTGACATTAAATGTTGTGCAGCTATTCATATCGCATATTTCGTTTTGCATATTTGGCATCGCATATTTCGTTTAATCGTTTGTGACTTAGTTATCTGAAATCTTTAATTTTCTTCTTGATTTTATTTTCTAATAATTATGAGTTTGACTTGATTATAAGTTTTCTACAACTTGAGAGTAATGAAAATAGTTTCATCGTAAATTTTTGAAGGTGTCGATTTATTAAAAAGTTACGTACTCGTAGCAATGTCTAAGAAAGGTGTGCTGCGAATATATTTTTGCTATTATTTATTATGTATTATTCCAAAATATTAAAATAATGTCTCGATTTAACAACGTCACTTACTTTAGCGAAGTCTCGTTCTGTGAAAATGACCCGACAAAGCTGTTACTCTGAATAAAACATGCCGTTTAAACTAATTCAGGAAATTACACTGGTTTGCGACTCGACACAGTCGTGGAAACTATCGCCATTCGGACCATGTTGCGAGTACACTTGGGAATACTCGGGCGTGCTATCGTGCAGCTTAATAATTTACTTATTAATTATTAATCTCAATTCGCGTATGACGCGCGTGGAGTAATCACGACAATTACATTGTGCCTCATGCGTGCATTGGCTATGGCAAGTTATTGAAACTATTTTATTTTTTATTTTGCACTTTACCATAATTTTTATTTATTTATTGCTATTATTTTATTTATGTATTATGTATCGCAATATTAATTTTATTTATGTATTATGTTTCGGCAATATTTTTATCTAACATTGCAACAATCAATTTAATTTAAAGCCAAAATTCTGAAGCATAAACTTTAAACTGTGACTTTAATCTGATTGAAATAAATGGTCAAATGCTATTAGAAAATGTGAATAATTATGGAATAGTGTACCTGAATATAGAGACAGAGTTTATGGTAAATAAATTATGAATGTTCGCACGTCATCACACTTTTCGGTCGATCGATCGAGATTAAGAAAAGGGACGAAATAACTTGCCAGTGATAATACGGGGGCAGACGTGGATTGACGTTAGCACCTTGACGAACGAGGTCGTTTGTAGACACGGGCATTACAACGGCCCGGTCGATGAGCGGCGAAGGGATGCGTGGGGATAGTTTGCAGGCGGTGATTTAAAGGTCTATGGAGCGATGATGCCTTAAGATTACTTACTCGCCGGAACATAATTTCCCGGCTCCTGGCTGCATCTTCATGCCGTAATTTACGGAAACTCGCTGGCAACATGTTAAGAATGTCACTTCCTTCGCTATGGCACGCACGTGAGAAATTTTATTTGGAATAAAACAACCTTGATTTCCGTGAATTCTCTGAATTAGAATCTCTAGCGAAAATTAAAGATATTAATTCTTGTCAGTTTTTTGAATGTTTACCGTGCATGTCTAATTGATTAATTTATATTGAAGAAACTAATACGAGACATACAAAGAGGTAAAATAGGATTTGATTGGTCTCCCCCGTTTATTTTTATCCTTTTTATTTCATCTTTTATATTTCTTTGTAAAATTATTCCATCGATTATTTCTCTGCTGGCAAGCATTCCCTTTGTACAATCTCATGTTACGTCTGGCCTAAAATGGAATATTATATGCAACAGTGCCTGAAGCTTCAAAACTCCTTTTTTGATTAGGCAAACTTAATACGTCGGTTCTAACATTCCAGACCATTCAGCTATGTATCGGGTTGCACGATTCGCAATTATGCATTCATCGTGGTACCATGCGTTATTCAATGCGATATTGAATATCACGTTACCAAACAAAACATTGCGGAATATCGGGATTTCCTCGAGTAATTGGAAGGCTTGTTACCGAAACTATTACCGCGATCGCATTATAATTACACCCTCTGTGCTCAGTGCCGCGTTGCAGGTTTATCATAATTTCGTATACACCGTAAATAGGGAACCTGTTAATTGAACGTGACCGTTATTAACTTGCGACGCCATTAACTTTGCAATACCTTAATTATCCTTAATACTGATTACTTACTGTTTCACAAAAAGAGTCTTGAGTAAGTATATATTTCAATGTTTTGAAAATTCACACGCACAATCGCAGTTGATGGCATTTATTTTATCAAATTATCTTACAATGCTAACAATTATTTTAAAAAAATTCCAGATATTTTTAGTTTTAGAAATCTTCAGAGATATTTATTTTCGCAGATTTCCAATTTAGATATGTCTATAATTTCATTGAATTTCTGTTACAAATATTAGTAGCAATTTTCTATTGCGATATTCCTATCTCTATAAATCCTTGATTCCTTTATTAACTTTATGGAATCCGATTATAAATTTATTATACACGATTTCTCAATTTCTATCGATCATCCTTATATCTCATCCATAGACAAATTAATGATTCATCTGAGACGTTAAATATCAAATTAAGAAAGACGGAGAGTATACAATTTGCTAGTTGAGAAAGAGGCGAGAAAGGTGCGGGCGATAGAATGGCGTATCGAACTTTTGGCAACTCATAACTATCGACCGGTTGGAAGCTTGGATGGTGTCCAGCCTCGACAAGCGAGGGATACGGAAAACCCTTGATGAGGTCCCCGAGAGTCGACTTCACTCTTTCCCCTCCGATCGACTCTTCCATATCGAACCTGTCACCGGTTGCACGAACTCGGCGACCATTCGTGTCTATCATAGTTTCTTGTTGCTAGCCACATTGGGTATGATGACCCGAAGTGCGGAACTTTTCATTCGCTTGCTGCCAGAAAGTAGCGTTGTGGTTTGATAACTTTGTTATCTCTTTTTTTTTTCTGCGGCACATTGTGTGAAAATTTTGCGTCAGCTCAGTCGCAATGTGGACGAAAGTTTTTACAAATTTGTCAATAAATGTTCCTTAAAATAAGTTTACTGGCAAAGGACAGTACTAATAATAGATCTCCGAAAATAATATTTAGCTGACGTAAAAGAATGCTGTTAACGTATTTTTGGCTAGTGACGTAATCAGTTAATTTAATACCTTCGCTAAATACTAAACTAACCAAAATAATTCAATTTTCTGTTGCAGGATGTTGCTTCGTAACCTTTTACACCAGAAAAGCGGCTTTGGCAGCGCAGAACGCTCTTCATAATGTCAAAACCTTCAACGGGGTAAGTGACTAATAATTAATTAACCTGACGGTTTGGTTGCGATAAATATATACATACGTGAATTTATTAAAGCTTTAAATAAGAAATAGAACTAACTTAATAAAATTGACAACAAATTTTTAATTTTTAATTAAAACTTCGTAAATTATTTCTAACAGTAAATTAATTCTAAATACAAATAATAAATTCTACATGAATTTATTACGAAGAACTGCTGCAGTGATTATTTTGTTATTTGAGTAAATATTATAAAACATTCGTTATGAAATTACAATGTCCGCGTATTATGGACATGCGCGATGGCTTCGCGAGGATTATCTTTCAAACCAAGCGCAAGTTTAGTCACCTCTGATCACAAATCACGGTTGTTGCTGCATGTATCAACATTGTTGTCGATAGAAATGTTTAGATAGCTTCAACGTATGCCGAGTACCGAATCAATTGCCAGACGCATCCGCTTAGCCGAATAATGAACGTTTACGCAGATAATTATCCGAGTGCCGATGATTGACCGAATAATGAATATTAATATGGTTGATCGTTCGAATAAATTATTCAAATCAATGTGGCGGTTCGATGAATCTTCGAGTAATCATCAATATAAGCGAACGTTCCGTCGTAAACAACGTCTATTTATGTTATTGAGATCATATCTTTTGATTCCTTTCGCAATCACGGAATGAAATAATAAAATTGCTGCAATTTTATGAAGTTATCGAAAATCGAAGGATATTATTGCTTTGAAATCTTAATTACGTAATAAATGCAAAATTATAAATATTACCAACGGAAAAAGCATATCTGTAATTGTCATTATGTTATTTTTAGTTCCCATCGGTTTTATGTGCGATAAAAACAACTATTAAAATTGCCAAAAAAAGACTCGTAAGTAAATGAATGCAAAATTGCATGTTTGTACTTAAATGATCGTCATTTATCATTAAAATGCTATTAAGAGCTGGTAATAATTTGTAAAGCTAGGAAATTTATGCACGGTATCAACTGCAAAATGAGGGCTGGAGTTTAACAAAATCTGAGATTAAAAATAGCGATTTTAAATGAAACTATGTACAGGATGACCGTGGTATATACGAAATGAGGAAATTTGAACAATCTTCTCGTCAGCGCTAATTGATTTAACTGGAGCAAGGATTAGAGAAAATTTCGAATGACGCATTTTTAAGCTTCTCTCTCTCTCTCTCTCTCTCTCTCTCTCTCTCAAATATTCAAGGCTGCAATGGGAGGCTCCATTATGAAGCTCCCAATCCTCTTTTCGATTCGAGATAACGCCGTCCGCGTCCGCTTGGAAAAATATTCCGTCAGAAAAGCAGCTTTCCTTTCTTCGGGTTTGGCGTCCCGTCGATTACAGGCGACCGGGGGCCGAAGATATCGTTGGAAGTGAGCCCGCACGATAATTACAGTTTCCCTGGAAACTTTCGATGCAATTACGAGACGTCATTATGAGCATTTAACCGAGCAGGCCTGGCAATTCCGCCCTTCCTATCCTCCCCGCTCCCGGCCTGTGACTCTCATACACGCGTGCTTATGCCTGAATTTACGAGAATAATTATTATCGATCGAAAGAGCGAAAGGGCGTGTTGAATGTGCGACGATCCCTGCAAAGCCGCGTGCGGATCGTTAATAATGCTCGATATGTTAAATGTGGCTCAACCGCAATAAATTGCATCAATTACATATGATGTTTCATTATATTAAATCTATGAAAATCTTCCTTTCTATTAGCAACATGAATTTAACAATGTACAGCAGTTGTTCCTTTAATTATGTATTTATGTAAATTGTACATATTATACTTTCTAATAGTCTCTCCATGTAATTTATTTAAATCTATTACCATTAGCATAATCTTTTTGTTACTTTAATAAAAAATTTTTATTATTGCAAATTTCATTACACCGCTTTATAGCTTTCAGCATGATTTCTGTGATTACTCTTAATTTACTTTTACATTAATTACTTAACTCAACATTTGTATTTTTTTATAAAATAAAAGTATTAAATATATTCATTAAATAATTTATTAATTACGAGAATAATAAATCATTTCAATTTAGGAATTAAAACTTTTGTATGACCTACCGCGAATGTGTATCTGAAATTCGTACATACTTCGCATATTAAATTCATTTTTTGCACGCGTGTAGCATTGAACTTGCGAATAATTTGACGTCGTGCCGTATTGTAAAATATATTCAAGAAAAAAAAAAGCTTCATTGACCTATTGAGCGAAGCGAAACAACAAGCTTTTCTTACGCATCGTGCGGCGGCAGCATCATCTTGGCGTCGCTTCAGGCATCTATTCTTCTGCAAGAATGACTAATCCACACAGTCATATTTAGGTTTAGTGAACCCACACGTACCCGAGCTCAATATATCGCGGACACGTACGAATCATATGGCCTATATGTACTTTTATGAGTTATGGCGCAATAAATAGTTGAGAAAAATCGAAATAAAATTTTATTTTAAATAAATAAAATTTTTAAAAAGTATAATAATGAGAATAAGATTAAGACTTATACAAATTGGTATAAATAGAGCCTCGAAATTCATTAAAATTTACTTTTTTATTTTTCTTATTCTTAAAAAAAAACAAGTATTTTTTCCCATTCAAGTATTGTGGTTACAATACAATAGCTGCAAATGTACAATAACTGCACTGTCATAGTTAAAATTGCTCAGAAACTGACATTGCACTATTTCCGCCGCGCATAATGTCGTAATGTTTTTATAATGTACTCTTTTTGTAAATTTCTTTTTTGTTTTTTAAACTAAATTGCGATTGTATACTACTTAAATTTTCCAACAGATGTTTTCTTCTAACATTAGCGCAATGTAATACATATATAATTCTAAGTTCTAATGTAAGTACATAATATTGTAGATACGTAAAGAACATAGCACCATTATTAAATTTAAACCTTGAAATAATGAAGAAAACAAGAAGAAGGAGCACTTATTAAGCCATAAAAGATGTACAAAGGATAATGTTGGAAGTGATAATTTATTTATTATCCGACTCGTTCCGTTTACTCCATGCTTTGTACATCAAAATACTCCTTACCGGTCTACTCACGAAAGTAAAAAACGACGGGCTTCAACGATCTTTCTCGCTTGCAAAGAAGGTCGCGTGCCATGAAAGAGACCAAATCTGAGACTCTTATGCCGGCTGTTAATTAAGGAGATTAAATAGCCGGAAGTCAAGCAGTCGCTCTTCGAGAAGCGTGCGCGCGACGGCAATGCTCAATCGGGGATAGAGTGATAGAAAAGAAAGTAGGAGGTCTCTCTGATGTAGAGAAAGGGAGAAAAAAAGAGAAACGCTAATAAAGAAGTGGAACGTTTTTGAACGCATAAAAAAGAAGGAAAGGCAAGAGAGAGGGAGGAGGGGGCAGTGAAAATGGAGAGGAAGGGGAAGGAAGAGGAAGAGAAAAGATGAATTGCAGAACGACGTTTTCGCAATGAAAAGGGTTGACTGAGTATAAGTGGGTAGCTGAAAGGAGCAAGAGTCGAAAAAGGCGGCGGAAAACGAGGAGGACGCTCAGGGGGGTTGCAAACTTCGGATGAGAGGGGGAGAGGGGAGGTAAGGAGACGAAGAGGGTAGCAGCGGTGCAGGCGGGTAGGGTAGAAGATGGAGAGGGGGCGGGGGAGGCGAATAGAGAACGGCTTGTGCATTTGAAGGAGTTTAGCTTTTCTCGTATCAGATTTCGTTTCCACGAGTGGCGTCGAGTTGAGAGGTCTGTGTTGGCTCGGAGAAATGACTCGAGAGCCCCCGAAACCTTTCCCCTCTCCTTTCTCTTTCTCCCTCATTCTCTTTCTCTTCCCACCGCCCGGCTTCTTTAGTCACCCTTTTACAACCTTTCCACCCTGTACCGAGTGCACCAATGCGTTTCAACGCTACCCTTAGGTATTTGGTGCCCAACGACGGATTTACTTCGCACAGGAACCAATGGGATATCCTGTCGTTCCACACGCACGATTCGCGCAGATCGATTTCTAGTATTGCGACATAGTTTCAGGTACATGTACATACACATACACAATGGTTTACAATTTAGAACTAAACATATCTATCTAGCGTAGCGCTTAAAATTGTGTTCATATATCACATCGTGCATAGACTATAGCTCGAATACCATATCGCGTTTGTAAAAAAAAACATGTTTTATTATTTATTGTAAAAATCCTCGTCTATTTTTTTGTTCTCTCAATGTCAAATCTATTTCGTATATCGCCAAAATTCGTTAAAAAAATATTGCGTACCTTTCCGTTGCCAGTGAAAGTTTCATGCGTGTAAATCATGCGTCGCACGAGGAAAAAAAAAGTATTCGCGTCTATAATTGAAATAGCGGAGTATCCCGTGGCGATTTTGCGGCAAAGAAGGGGGAGGAGCGCGCGTCTGGCTCGTAGCCGCGAAATTGGCGGAAAACCGTGGCGAATTTACAAGCGTGCATACCGCCCTCGCAACAATGCGTAATATTATTAAAGCGCGGCGGGACGAGAGATATTGGAGCGTTAGTAGGCGAGATACAAATGGAAAATGAAACCATTATACGCTTCGGTACGATCGATAAATGCGCGAAAATGGCGGACAGAAAATTCCTCATAATCGATCGGGTTAATCATTCTTTTGGAAGATCTGCGTAATGCGAAATTTAAGAAAGAGAAATAACACTTAAGAATGAAATATACTCCAGTTTTCACATAGACGTGTGAAGAGTGAAACGACTTCTTTAAAATATGTCAGTTACATTTGAGAGAATGAACGTCATTTATATTTAAATATGTTAAATTTTATATCTAATGCATTTCTTACACCAATTTTACATTCTGGATTTCATCCAATTTACTGAAGGAAATGTCGACGTGAAATTAAATTATCAATGAAATTCGAAAAAATGCTTCTATAAAATTTTAATAGATTGAAGAAGTCATTGGAAAAATGTCACAAATACTAAAGCTTTCAAATGCAATGTGTTAAC